CAGCTTAACTGAACTGGTTTCAAAACCACTTCAGGATAACACGGGGCAATATGTGTGTATAGGCAAACCAAAAATACTATAGATATCGTCTCCATTAAAGGGGATGAGCTTATGGATAGGTAAGGGTCCGCTCAGTTCGTGATTCCGTGGATTTCTTGGAAAATGTAAAATCCAGGATTGTCTGTGAAATCAACTTAAGAAAAACTTAATAAAAATGAAACGCTGGCTTCCCAGTGGGAGCCAGTGGTTTTCGCTGCCACTGCAGCCCAGCCTCCCAGCCCGCCCTGGGGAGGGGAGGTGCCAGGTGGCGGGGCAGCATGAAGGGGGGGCAGGCAAGATGGTGTCCTCCCCCTTGTTCCTCCTCCCCATGCCAGGGTCTCTCCACCTATCAGCACCGAGGGGTGGAGCTGCTGGAGCACATCCAGGAAATATCCATGGAATTTGCTATTTATGCCGTGACCAACCCACAAAAAGTGTTTAGCTTCTCTGAAACGTAAGTAGGCCCCCTATGTATAGGGATTAATTACACTCAGGTACTGCCTCCAAGTAACTAGAGGAGAACATGGTAGGGATGATGGTTGTACCGGTGCCTATGCTCTTTTATATAAAGCCTCAGGGTTAAAGCACCTGCTCAGGATGACGGAAATCTAAGTCTAAGACCTTTTTCAGCCTCAGGGGTTTCAGCTTGACCTCCCTCAGAGTGCCCTAGGCATCAGGCTTAATGGCCCATCTGGGTTGAAGCTGGGTTTCTGTGGACAAATGAACTCAAGATTCACGAGGCTGAGAGAGATGACATCTGACTGTAGCTCTGTCATTACCGCACCTGGCTGGGGGTAAAAACCTAGATTCTGGTTTTGGCTCCCAGGATTGTTATGCATTTTACATTAAAAAAGCATTGGAAAAAAATCAACCCAGAAATGCTCCTGGGACTAGAGACCCAGAACATACTCCCTACTAGGTGACTACCTTCATCAGTGAGGAGGAAACAATATCCAGGTTTCCCATTTCCTAGGTAAGTTCCCTAACCACTAAGATATGAAATAAAAGGTAGGCGCCACCAACACGTTGTCCTGCGGCCAACTCTTAAAGGAAAATGGTAAGCCTGGCTCAGTTTTTTCAAAGAGCAGGTAGAGGAGCTGACTCAGACTCTGAAGGCACCTGCCTGGAGACTGAGCCAGGTGCTTACACTCCAGAAGTGGGTCAGAGTTTGCACACTCCTGTGCTTAGCATTGCTTATTGGCTGGCTGTAGGCAGCTTCCCACTCACTGGGTGTGTCTACACATGCACATTTACTGCACAGTAACCTAAATGACTGCACAGTACAGGTGCACGTCAACGTGTGCATGCCCATCCTGCGCAGTAACTATGGTGACTTACGCCAAGTTGGGCCTAAATTTGATACCTACATCATGCAGGTATCAAATTTACACCTGATTAGCTACTGCGCAGTAACGCACGTGTAGATATCTTACTGCACAGTAGCACTTGTGTGTGGACTGACTTGGGACTAACTTTAGGGACTAAGTGTGAGGGATATTTTTGGATGCCCCTCTGAAGGATCCAATTATATAGGGAATGTAAGCACCTAACACTGGATTTCAGAGTCCATTCCAGGGTCAAATATCTAAAAGATAAATGTGGCACCCTCAAACTTGTAGGCACCCTAAGAGCTTCATTGATCTAGCTCTAAGTCTTCATTCCTCTAAAGCAGGTGGGGGAACCCCAATACAACTTGTATGGGTACTGACAAACTGAGCTTGGACTCATGTTATACATGTCCAATTTAGTTAGTCTATAAGGTGCAAATCTACCCTGCCTTCTGCCTGACTTTAGACTAACAGCACTTAACTACTTTACCTGTAAATAAAACCATGAATGCAAAATAATTGCCGGGAGAGTTTTAAAAAATAGCTGGTAATTTGAGTGCAAGATTATTACGTGCAATAGACTCAAAACATCTGTTCAGCGGTGGTGTGGTGGTGGTGGTATGTTTTTTAATATCCTCCTAATAAACTTTATGAGCCAAATTCTCCTCGAAGTTATCCCAATGCCAGGCTACTGAAATCAATAACAGGGGTGTGGTTATGGGGAACACTTCATTAATCAACATGCATATTCTTCAACTATGGGCCAAATTCTACCCTTGTGTATCTTATACCTTTTAAACTTTATGGACAGTCTAAATTTAATGAAGAGCCGAACCTGGCTTTGTGCGCAATACAGTAGCAATAACCATAAAAACAAATGCACATCCTGATGAGAGGGAAGTCATTTTGAGAGGTGGACAGTGAAAGAAATGAGAGCTAGAATTCCTGGACTGTGTTGTATTTTACTTCTTGTGCCCCTCTCGCTATAGCATTGCAGCATCTTCCAAATCTTCAGACATAAAAGTGATGTCTTCTATTATATTTTCCAGACTAGGCAGAATAGTTTAGTTAGTTTGTGTATGTGTGTCTGTGTGTAAGAGAGAGAGATAGGATATTAGAGAGAGAAGGCAATAGAGATGTTTTTAGTATTTATTTCTTGACACCATAGGCTTCATCCACACATGGTGTGGATGTGATCCCTGGGGACAACTAGCGGCGGCGCATCTGGGCACGGTTACAGCATCATAGTCACATTTACCTATTTCTAGGAATGAATGACAGTTTGGACCCTGCTCTTGTCTAGGAGGATGATGCTATTGAAGGGATGTCTTTTGCCAGTCCCATCAGAGTCACTGGCCGTGTCTACACAAGCGGCGAATTGCGCAGTTGTTACTGTCCAGTCATTTAGTACTTGCGTAAGCAAGTACGTGTGTAATGAAGTACTAAATGACTGCACAGCAAGTGGTGTTACTGTGCAGTAGAGTCCCTGCATGGGTTTTTTTTTTCAGATGCTACTGCGCCGTAGCTCATTACTGTTGTGAAGTAGCATCACAGCATGGTTAGTGCCTGCCAACACTACCGTGCGGTAGCAATGAGCTATTGTGTAGTAGCTCATTGCTACCGAACAGTAGCGTCTTGTGTAGATGCACCTGTTAACTACTAAAATGACCTTGAACTGAATTCTGTATCCGGTGAAGGACCCTTGCAGGGAGTGGGACATCAGTGCAAATTGGTCATTGAGATCTGGGCTGCTAAGCAGAAAAGAAAATTAATTTGTACTTTTCTGGGCATGAGATTTAGAGCTGGTCAGAATGCTTCCCCCAGAAAATGCTGTTTAAATCAAACCAAATTGTGTTGCAGAGATATATTGTTTTCAGTAATAACAGGAAGGGAAGGACATCCGTGGTTGCAGCCTAGTGAGGAAGCGATTGACTTAAGACATCCAGGGTCAAGCCTTTTTTCCTGGCTCTGCTTCACAGCAGAGGTCCTCATTCTGGATCACTGAGTAAGGCAGAGCACACACTTGGGACTGAGTGTCTTGCATCCCAAGTTAATATCCTAACTACTAGGATGTCCCTATCCCTACCTCCATCTCTCCATTTTGACACACATCAAGTTAATCAACGAGCTGAAAAAATGGAACATTGGGCACTCTACATGTGCATTATCGTGCCATAGTTACTGCAATTAAGTTTAGTACCTGTAATAACAGGTACTAACCTTTAATAACAGGTACTAACTGAATGCTCAGTAACTGGCACCACTGTTCAGCAGCACCAGTACATACCTTTTTAATTACATTAATGCACAGGGGCTAATTTGGCTTTTGCCATGATGCGCTAATGTGTAGTAGAATTAGTTTACTGCACATTTAGCAACTCATATAGATGCACCTATTTTGACACGATTCCTTTTGATTTCTTTTCCTCCCCCTTTTCACAGAAACAGTTTAAAAGATTTTGGTTTTGTCCAATTGCAAAACAAAGCGTCTCATCTCAGAAGCTGTCGTGAGATGGAATATTTTCAGTTCTCAGATTAATTCCTTGACATGAGCTGTTAAAAACAAATCTGAAGATAGTGGATGCCTGTGGTTGGGCCTGAGAACAACAGAATAGGGATCAATCAGTGGCAAAAGGAAGCGGCGGTTTTTATTTGATACATTAAGGACAAGATTTGTGCGGTTTTTTTTTTTTAAAGGGAACACTCTCTACTTGTAAACGGTGACTTTTGTCCAGAAAGATGTTGTGTTTTTCTGCAATTTATGGCCACAAACAATGCAAAGCTAAGCTCAGTTATCTACCACATTTATCTAGAGACTAGAAGATTATTCCGTTAAATGGGATCCGTGTAATATCTGGCACCTTTGCTAATAATGCATCTCGATTGTTATCCAGTGCCGATATGGAGGCCTTGGCAAAATTATCCAGCTGTAAATGTTTACTTTCCTTTTCCCTCCTTAAGATGGGTAGCAGATGTCTCTGTTGGCAATGTTGGTATCAGAGGTAGTCACAAAGAAGCACATCTGTGTGCGCGCTCAGTGGAGACTGGTAAAGCGAAGCTAAACCACGTGTGACCATGTAGTCTAATGACCCATGAAACAAGCCCATGTGAACTATACCACTCCTGCTGTTGGGCTTTTATAAAGGACATGAGCAGATTTCCTTCTGAGAACGCCATTCATCTTGACTGAACAAACTGGCTGAACAGCAGTACTTGGGCTATGTCTGGAAAGGATGCAGTATCTTATCTTAACACAAACTGAGACTGCGTTTGGAGTATATAATGAAGTGATAACTTCAGCCCCTTGGTGCCTCTTATTTGGCATTTGCGTCAGTCTTTATCATCTTCTCCTGTATCTAGAATTTGATGTTTCGTATTGTACGTGTTTATTTTAAAGTGCACTGGGAAGACGCTGTTTTAATTTTTCCTAATCCAATTTAAATGCAAATGATAAGCACTCACATGATGCTGTGTGTACATAATTAAGCATCATTATATACTACATGAATCATTCAAAAAGCTCCGGAGAACCATTCCACTATGTAAAACATGCCTTGTGTTGAAAAGCAGCCAAGAGACTTGTGCCTTTGTGATTAAGTGTTTGTACTTATTAAATCTCTCTTTGAATTACAGGTCAACAGATTACGGGACAACATACGAGAAGCTGAATGATAAGGTTGGCCTGAAGACTATTCTGAGCTACCTGTATGTGTGCCCAACGAACAAACGCAAGGTAAGTGGTAAAGTATTTGGCACGTCATTTTTTACTATGTGACTTTGTTCTAGGTCAGACTTTGCCCATTTCTTAAGAACCTATTACGGCTAATGCAAATATGAGGGGCCAAACAGGTATAAACAGATGTTGATTGATTAAGGTAGAAGCCACTCTGGTAGCATCTGAGGATTTGCTTCTATGAACTTGTTCAAAGAAGAGATGGCTGTTAAATGGATGAACATAAAAGGTATTGAGCGTATGATCATTTTCATACTTTCTGGCTGGGGTTGATTCCGTTGTTTGGAAAGGGAAAGACTCATTAAAATGTTAGAAATGTGTCTGTGGAGACCAGATTGCATATAAAATTATTTGTCTTTTAAGTGCTCCCAATAGCAAACTGAACAGGATTTGACAAAATCCAGCTGAGAAAATGCCTTCCAAAGTCCGGAAGGTTTTAATCATGCAGGGACCCCGCTGAGTAACAATTTACCAAGAATTTTTAATGCCGGTGCTTTTGTAAAGGTGGATGATGTCTTTTTTTTTGCATTCCGTTTTCTGACCAGGTCTCTTATGGAAGTATGGGTAGGAAGGATTATTAGCAACTATTCATTGGAAATATTGATGTAGATTGTCTTGCATGGTCCCATGCTTGGAAGCATTCTTGAATAGAAACTCCACATCAGGGGTATGTGAGGCAGGCCCTATTCAATTCAGATTCAGGCCGAATCAGGGACAGTGATTTGATTTGTTGATTTGATTCGGCCAAATCCGAATCTGAAGATTCGATGCTGATTCATACATAGACACAGCTTTAAATGTTTTTTCTACATACCTTGAGGTACCAGAGTGACTTGTGAATACTGCAGTGCTGGGGCACATGGAGCGTCCCACAGGAGTGTGGGGGGGCCCTCCACGTGCTCGGTGGTGAACCCAGAAGTGGATCAGAAGTTGCCAGTTTCACCCAAATGTGCCAAATAGTTTCATTGAGGTACATTATGGGGGGGGCCTATGCTTCAATTTTGTCTTTTGTGAGAGGTGATTTCAACATGTAACGCTCATACCCACCAAACTAGATACCAACTTCTTGATTTCTGATTCTGTGGATATTCAAGCATACCATACAATGTTGAACAGCAACCTCAGGAGAGATTAAGAGGACCCAGTTTGCAATACCTTCGTACCTTGATGGCTAAGGCTCTTGTTGATGCTGTCCCATGTTGAATGGGAACTTAAAAGTTTTTATGAGATGGAAGGCAAGAGGGAGAGAAGGACTGTAATGGATCAGATGTTCATCTGGAAGGTAGGAAGCCTGTTTTCCAGTCCCTGCTTCCATTAATGTTTAGCCATAGAAAGATGAATAGGAAGATGTGAGAGCATCTCAGACCAGAATACCTGAGAGCTTGGTGGTCAGCACGTTCTCTGGAGAGGCGGGTGTGAATTCTTTCATAAAGAAGGGAAAAGTGAACTAGGTTTTCCATAGCCTTGATATTTTTTCTAATCCCTAAATTGCAACACAATAAAGGGAAGAACTGATGTCGTTTTTACATGTTCTTACATGTGCCCAAAGCTAAAAAATTGGAGGCAAATGAAAATATTTGGCATTTTTCCTTCAATGAAAAAAAAAAAATGTTCCTTTTACTTTGATCCAAACTGATTTTTTTTCCCTTGAGATGTTTCATTTAAGCTGCTGAACCGGGGGAAAAAACCAACAATAATTAATAATTTACAGGGCCCTAAGTCTCCCTGGTATCATTTACCCCATTTGGAATCAGCTCATGCCAATCTGTGCAATGCCTACCTCAGACTTTATGCTCTTTGAGGTGAGCAAAGCTGTATGCAATGCAGTATCAGGCATGTCAGTTTGTGCTCTAGGAGACTTGATTGAGTCTGCGCCGATGCACTGGATTTCCAGTGAGTCAGAGCAGACTCGCCGCATGTGACATGAGATATTTTACTGAAAGCTCATCACCTTCATATCTATTAGTGAAGACCTTCTGGTTTGGAGGTAGAAGGACTACAGTTTGCTGCCACTGTGAATGCTTTATGAAGTAGTTATGTTTCAACAAAGATAAATGCAAGGTACTCCACCTGGGGAGGAGGAATCCCCAGCACACCTACAGGTTGGGGGATGACCTCCTCAGCAGCTCAGAGGCTGAGAGGGACCCTGGAGTCATAGTTGACTCCAAGATGAACATGAGCTGGTAGTGCAACGAGGCCATCAACAAGGCCAATCGCACCTTGTCGTGCATTAGCAGATGCATGACCAACAGATCGAGGGAGGTGATGCTCCCCCTCTATACAGCGCTAGTTGGGCCACAGTTAGAGTACTGTGTCCAGTTTTGGGTGCCGCACTTCAAGAGGGACACGGATGATCTGGAAAGGGTTCAGAGGAGGGACACCTGCATGATTAGTGGTCTCCGTGAAAGACCCTACGAGGAGAGGTTGAGAGATCTGGATCTCTTCAGCCTATAGAAAAGATGGCTGAGGTGTGACCTTGTGGCCGCCTATAAATTTATCAGGGGAGGACAGCAGGAGCAGGTTGCAGTTTTCCAGAGCGCCCCAGGGAGTAACTAGGAATAATGGGTGCAAACTAGTGGAGAATAGATTTAGGTTAGACATTAGGAAGACATTTTTCACAGTAAGTGTGGCCAGAGTCTGGAACGGGCTTCTAAGAGATGTGGTGCTGTCACTTAACTTGGAGGTCTTCAAGAGGAGGCTTGACAATCACCTGGCTGGGGTCGTCTGACCTTGGTCCTCTTTCCTGCCAGGGGCAGGGGCCGGACACGATGATCCACTGGGTTCCTTTCGACTCTACAATCTATGAATGTCTCAAATTTGCAACCTTAGGGTGCATCTACACATGCACTTTACTGTGGAGTAAACTAATTAGCCCCTCAGTAAAGCATCACCATCTACACATGTGCCAGTATTAGGGAGCAGTAAACTAATTAAATCTGCTTTAAGATGGTGCTGTCCCTGATGGTGGAGTCATTACGTGAGGTCAAACACACATGTGGATGGGGACCACAGGTGTAAATTGTGCCTGGTCACCCCATCCACCTGGGGACAGACTCCTGCCTCACCTTCGTGACCCAGCCAGCCCCTCCACCACCCACTGCTGCCAACGAGAGCCCGGGACTGACCCCCTACATCCCCTGCCACCCCAGGGCTGCTCTGTACCAGGTCAAAGTGCTGTCCTGGACACACATACAGACGCTATGCACGGCATCAGTTGTCTCCAGCTGAAATTGCCCCAGAGTTTATTGCTTCGCCTTAATTTCACATGTAGATGCACACCCTCAGAGTGATACTTAATGTATACTAAAGTGCTCGAACATGCATTTGCTCTTGTTTTAAATGTACTTAGTAGGTGTTACGTTGAATGTGTGATCCCATCTACAAAGCCACTGCTCCAGGCTCCCTTTGGAAAATGCTAGCTCTTAGTTTTGACTGGGTTTTTTGGCAACAGAAAGGCAATAGAGATGTTCTTCTGTTGCAAAGACCTCAGGAAGACCACAACAGGGCAGAATGCATTTAACACTATTGGATTCTTATTTGAAATCTTTATCTTGCGAGTCATGTTTGCACACCTAGTAGTGCTAACATTGTGAGACAACCTGCGACACCAGTGAGAGGATCTCAAGACACCCCAGGGTGCTGCTGCACCCTGGCTGAGAATCACCGCTCTAGGCTGACCTGGTCTCATGGTCTCTGAGCCATTTGTGTGCATAAAATCCTCTGGAAAGAGAAGGAAAAGCTGCAGAACATCAGGGTAAAAGAATACCTTTAAAGTTATAGGATTGGCTTTTCAAATGCTAGCTTCAAAATGAGGCCAAATCCTAGCTGTAATATATGTGCTTATGTCTACAAGGCCATGATCCAGGAAGCAAATGCTTAACAATTAAGCATATTAATAGGTTCATCATCTAAACTTGCAGCAGGGAGAGCATTTTAAACCTTTGCAGTATTTTCACATTGAAAACATTTTCACAGTGAAACACGTGCACTTGAACCAGGCACCTAGTTTTATCATTCCACGTGGAATGGAAACTCGCTTTAAATTTACTTCTGTGGGAGAAAATATCGAATCTTCAGATTCAGATTTGGCCGAATCGAATCAGGAACGGCGATCCGAATCAACAAATCAAATCATTCTCCCTGATTTGGGCCGAATCCAAATCCGAATAGAATAGGACCCGCTTCACACACACGTACTACATAGCCTTAGTTTTCCACTATAATCGTTGAGTCCCCTACAACAGCAAATTTACATACACGTAGGCTCTGGTGAGTGAGTTGAGCATATCTATTACTGCTGGGTGAACAGCGCAAATATTTTTTTCCATGAAACGTTTTAAAGCATTCCTCTGTCTTCACTCTCGACTTCTCATATTTTGTGCGGCACAAATATTTCTGTAGCAGGCTGTCACAGAATGTGAGTTGTGAGCCTGTACCCTTGCCCAGTCATTTAAAGCAAATTTTAAAATATGTGTTTGTGGGCATTTATACAAGAAACCTGGTTATGGCATTGAGGCAGCACAGTAGATGAAGCAGGTGCTTCTGAAGCACAGGTTTAAGCCCCAGTCTTGCTTTAAAAAAGGATTGAAATACTTGTTTAAACATCTGCGAGGAGTCGCACCGAAGCTGAAGTTAACCAAGAGCCTTGCTGACTCCGTGCCAATTATTGTTCTTATTATCTAATCACGAAACAAAATATACCCCTGCACGTATTCGCAAATACTCACTCTTCTGCAGTGTAACTGGTTTCGTAAACTGTAGAATACATTTAATTAGATTCATTTGAATAACGAATCAATTTTGTCCACAAAAGCTTAGAGAGCAGGATGCATCAAGCAAATGATTTGCTGTGATTTTTGTTGTGCTTATTTCCATCTAGAATATATGTTAATGAGGTTATAAATATATACAGCAAGATTTGCAGAGCTCCTTGCTGCCTCTGAATGCTCCTTACTGTCTGCGAATGCCAGTTGTCTTTTTAAAGCTTTCAAAGTCCGGTT